GGAGCGGGACACAAAACTAGGAATTAAATATATCATTTTCACTAAAAAAAAAGGTAAAAAAGTTATGAATCGATGGTACGTTGCTGATGAATTTTATTTTTTTTTTTTGTTCTCTGCTCAGGGCTATATATGACGATTAGGAGCCAATAACGAAACAAATAGACAGTGCAAACGATTATACATACAATGCACAAACCCAATCCTAATTGCGTAGTGCAGCGAAGCAAGTAAGAAAACAAAATCAATAAATGACATTGCCCTTTTCCTGAGGACCTGTGTCACCAGTTGGCCTAGCTCAGCGGACACACAAACTGAACTGTGCATCAAGGCCGTCGCCGTTTTTCTTGTTTTCGAACAGAAGAACTGATACGAAATGGTCTTAGCATAATAACGTGACTAAGAAAAACCTAAAACACGTAAATCAAAGAAAAACAAGGGACACGAGAAATGGGAAAATTCCTAAATAACCCTGGATTCCAGCAAGAAATGGCCTGCCCGCGAAAGTACCAGGGAAGGTCCCATAAAAAAAGAAAAAGAAAAAAAAATCTCAAAACAACTTTGTTGTGCAGAAAAATAATATCAAGTACTTTTTTTTTCCTTCATAAATAGGAGTATATCATATTATCACAGGCTGGGAAACAGGCCCAGCATCCCTCACATCAATAACCACTGCGCGCAAGGATGAGCTCGACAATATCAGGATCGCATCTGAATTTCTTTACGAATTAGTAAATTGCAAGGAAGATGAGCAATAGTGAACTTCAACAATCAAACAGCATCATACATATGAGTCCAGATAGTCTTGACCTCGAACCAACAGCAAAATTGCAACACAAGATTCACCAAATAAGAACATCCCAAGAGTTCATAATTGACAATGCTGAATAAGTCCCATCATCATCAACGAAGAACCAGAGCTGATATCCTATCTGGCGCTCGGCGCCCAGACTACATGTGGCAGATCCTATCTAGCCTATGCTACGAAGCCGAAAGATGACGTCAACAACATTCCCGAAGTACGAGCATATGGCGACCAATGTCGCACGCTTCCAGCGCCAGGTATGTCTCTCGCCGCACTCACAACCTCGTTCCCCAACACAAAGATGCCTCTAGCACCCAAGGACCACCCTGCGCTTCACCCAACTCACAGCAGTGCAGCTCGGCTATGGCTGCGTGCTCCTTCCCTGCTCGCCCGTGAGAGCGTAGGCGCCAACCAGCAAATAGCGCAGCAGCAGCGCTTGCGCAGCATGCAGCTAGCACCCGAATGCCGAATGAGGAGGCAGGCCCTTTGCTATATCGAAGTGGCCTGCCTGCGTCCAGTCCCAGGAAGCTTCCAGTAGGCCCCGGTAGCCTGAGGCCCAGTACACACAAGAACAGGCCCAGGGCCTTAGGTGGTTGCATGTGCCCAACTGCCTGTGGCCTGTGTTCGGCCCGATACCCATATCCAGCCCAGGGCCTGCTTTCCATTCATTCACACAGGCGTCCCAGGGCCTGGGTTTCTTCAACCAACTGGCGCTGCGCAACTTCTTGAATTTCCTTGGTTGCGTAGTAGCCGAAAAAGGGCCCTGAGGGCCTTGTCGAGCCTGCCTTCACTTAAGGCGGCCGACTGACTCCAAAATAGGGGCTGAACGGGGCTAATAGAGGCATAGCCTCGCATTCCCTCCTCCTTAGCTTCAACTGTCCTCTTAGAAGCTCAGTCTTCAATCATGGGGCACTTTCCCTTCTGCAGAGCTCTCTCGTATTGGGCTATAACTTGAGGTGCCGTTTGCACGAGTTCTTCCCTTGTAAACCAGCGGTCTTCCTTTGGATTAGTATGATATTGGAACCGAACGCGGTACTGCAGCTTCGGTTTCGGAGGACGTCCCCTGCCTGTAGGTCTCTGAACTAGGAGCTCCCTGTGATCCACGATGTCATCAATGTCCACTTCTCCATCCATGGTTGGGGGCAGCATTGAGCGTCACGAGGGGAACTGATCGGTTTCCTTGAATGGTGCAAGCTTAGAAGCGTGAAAGACTGGGTAGGTACGGAGGTGACCAGGGATCCGAATAACATAGGATGGCCCATCTGGATCAGTCCCAACAACATCCAACACTTCCCAAGGCCCAAAGTACTGGGGCATGAGTTTGCGGGAAATCCCGTGCTCTTCTCCCAGTTTTGAGGACTTGACTCAGACCCTATCCCCAACCTGAAAGGTAGAAGGACGGCGGTGTCTGTTCTATGACTCGATCATTGACGCCTGTGCCTTCTGCATCTGTTCTACCGCCTGCTGCATTTTTTGTTCATACCTATAGGCAAATTCCAAGGTGCTTGGTGCAGCAGTTGACTAATTCTCAGGCAGGAGACAGTCTAGGCTTGAAGTTCAGTAGTAGACTGTTTGGGCTCACCCCGGTGGCGCTGTGTATAGCGTTGTTATACAGGCTGGCGATGAGAGTGAGCTTCTTATCCCAGTCCACCTGGTTGGGCTTAATGTAATGCCTCAACAGGTGTTGTACAACGCGATTCAGTTGTTCGGCTTGACCACTGGCCTCTGGGTGATTCCGAGAAGTCATTTGCAACTGTGTCCCCTGTTCAACAGCGGCGGCCTTCCATAGCTCACTGGTGAAACGGACATCCCTGTCACTGACTATGGATTTGGGAAGACCAAAATCCCTAACCTAGTTCTCTTTAAACAATCTAATGACGTGCTCGGTCTTTGCTGACTCCGGCATGGCTATCAACCTAGCATATTTGCTAAACCTATCCACGATGACGAAGATGTGTCTCATGCCACTCTTGCTGGTGAGCAGCGTGTCCATGAAGTCCATGGACAAACGCTCACCTGGCCTTTCCGAAATCGGAAGGGGCTTCAGGAGCCCAAGAGGAGCCTGAGTACGTGGCTTGTCTTTCTGACAGACTTGACAAGTTTCCACGTACAGCTGGGCATCTCGCATCATCGTCGGCTACCAGAACCGCTGCAGCAAGTTGGCTGCGGTCTTTTTATACGCAAAATGGCCGGTGGCATCATGACACTCACCTAAAAACAAACTATGCAAAGACTCACTATTAGGAACACACAATCGTTTATTCCCTGCCTTCTCAAGGAACAACAAGCCATTGACCAACTCAAACTCGGCAGAGGTCTTCTTGTCCTTTGCCTATAGTCCCCGTATGATCTCAGACATGAACTGGTCCTCGCGATAGGCTTCCACCAAAGAGCGAGTCACATCGTTCGTTAGATCGAACTCAGTAATTAGCGCACCTGAGAAATCAGGTCTACGTGACAAGACATTTGCAACCTTGATGTACTCTCCTTTTAGATACTGGGGGTCGAAGTCATATTGTTTGATGACTTCGATCCAACGCTTTAGAGCATCGGAAAGCACCGACTGTGTTCTCATCCATCTCAAGGTCGGATGATCAGTCCTGAGGATAAAGAACCTCCCAAGGAGATAATGTCTCCAATGGGTCAAAGCCTTGTACACGGCGTAAAGTTCCTTCTCATAGGTGGACTTTGCCAACTTCTGAGACGACATTTTCTTCGACATGTACTCGACTGGCCTCAACTTTGGCCCCTCCTGTTGCGCAAGCACGGCGTCAATGCCATATTGGCTGGCATCCGTAGTGACTACAAATAGCTTGTCAGGATCAGGAAGTTTCAAGACCTCGTAGTGGGTTAACGTATGCTTCAGATGTCTGAAAGCAGCCTCGCACTCATCTGTCCACTCCCATGGGGTGTCAAGGCGGGTCAGATCAGTCAAAGGGGTGACCACTATGCTATAGTTCTTTACGAAAGTCCTATAGTAGCCGGTCATCCCTAAGAAAGATCTCATCTCAGTCACAGACTGAGGACGTGGCCAATCACGAATGCTGGCCACCTTCGCGTCATCGGGCTTCAACCCTTCTGCGGAAATTTCATGACCCAAGTACAAGACACGGGTGCGGCCAAACTCGCACTTCTCACCGTTGATCTTGAACTTGTGTTGTCGCAGGAGACTGAGGACTTTGTCCAAATGCGCAACATGCTCCTCGACAGTCTTACTAAAAATAAGTATGTCATCAAGGTATACGATGACAAACTTATCCAAGTAGTCATGGAATATCCGATTCATAGTGTGCTGAAAGGTGCCAGGAGCATTGCAAAGGCCGAAAGGCATCACCACAAACTCGTACAGACCGTACCTGGTCTGGATGACAATCAGGTGGTACCCGGACTTCAGATCTATCTTACTGAAGTACCGACACCCTTGCACTCTATCTAACAAATCGTCGATGTGCGGCAGGGGCTCTCTATTCTTAACAGTGATGGCATTGAGGCCCCTATAGTCAATGCACATCCTAAGTGTACCCTCCTTCTTCTTAGGTACAAATAGTACTGGAGATCCATAAGGACAGACACTCAGCCGGATCCATCTCTTCTCTACGAGTTCCTTGAGTTGGCGGCGTAGCTCATCAAGCTCGCCGGGAGACATTCGATAGATCCTACCCTTCGGGATACTAGACCCTGGGATAATCTCTATCGCGTGGACAACCTTCCTCTCAACAACCCTTGTCGGCTCTTCAAATAGATCAAGCTATTTGGCAACTACTCCCTCTATCTCCGACGGCATTTTCACCGGCTCGCCTGCAGCAGAGACATAAACTAGATACATACCCTCCTCCTGGTTTTGCTTATAGTAATTGTATAATGCGGCCGCACACATGCACCCGTAGGACTCAATCAGACTACTAGCCTTAAACTTATGTAATCTGGCGGTCCTTCCACCTGGCAAAGTGTGTTTGACCACTTTTCGGTCCCAGTCAAACTGGGGCTGTGCAACCGAGAGGTAGTACATACCTAACAAGATATCCATGGAGAGATCGTCGCTCACTAGGAATGAGACACGATGCCTCAATTCCCCTCCCACGTACGGGAATAGGCACTCAACGTCCTGGAGGTAGTCATTAACTACCATGCGCTGTTTGTTGGCCAGGTCGACTCCACAGGTCGACTCCACAGGTCGACTCCACAGGTCGACTCAGGCGCCGCACTTGCCCCTGTAAGCGCAACCTCTCAACACATGCGCGACTAATAAAGTTCCTCGTCGAGCAGTGTCATAATAGGCCCCAGTCTTGCGACCGCCTACGACTATCTCGCTGACGAACATCTCACCCTTAGGAGCTTTAGCCAGTGCTGTCCAAGAAGCTAGCGGGTCTGATCTAGACCACTCCTCCTCTAGCTCCTCTAAGGATTCAAACACATTCATCGAACAGAGGGTCGATGGGTCTGAATGTGTTTGCGGGACGAATGGGGAGTCAGTAGCTTGGGCCCTATCGCGAGATGGCGAGGGTGTCTCCACCACCTCGAACCTAGTAGGAACAACTAGTATTCCTACTGGCCTGACGTGTTTCCCGGAGCAGTGTCTGACGAACTAGCAACATTGCTACCTACGGGAGCGGAGGATCCTACCGCCTGCCCCATAGTAGGCGGGATCTTCTCAGTGATCTTCTTGTTCCTACATTTGAACTAGTTATGGGCATATTGGTCACAACGGATGCAGGCCTGTCGGTTCCACCGATCTCTCCAAACGTCCTCTGAAAGACCCGCTTTCTCCCATGGAGGAGCATTGGGGTCGACTTGATTCCTAGACCAGGAGCCCCCTCGGCGTCTACCGGTCCTCTTACCTTTTTGTTGGGTTACGGCGATGACTACTCCACCCTCTGAAGTTTCGCCACCTGCCTCTGCACCTACTCCTAACTGGGGGTCATCGTCCAACTCAATGGTTGACCCATCATTGTCGACAAACATAATGCGACCCTTGGCTTTCCAGTTAGGAGGCAGGGTCTTCTTTCTCCTGTCCGTCGCTGGGTTATGTCCATGCCCTATCTTAGCTTCAAGGTCTAGGGCCTTCTTGCTAAACGAGGGAAAGTTGTGCATGTTGATATTAGCCTCAACTGCCAACTGATTCCTGATTGGCATCGCCAGACACCTCAGGTAAGTTGTCAGTAAGACTTGGGGGTCATAGCGAACCCCAAGAACACAGATCAGACGCTCTACTGCGTCTATGGCCTCCCTAACTGATTTGAACGATTGAGCGCTCAAAGTCAGGATCGCGTCAGTGACCTTTTGAGCCTCCTGAGGATCATGCCGCCTTTCCTCCACTAACTTGAGTAAGTCAACCAGCTTTTCGCTGGCTGCCCAAGCGCAGAAGTCATGACCATATCCCTATAGCTGCACCAGACCGCTCAACCATCTTGTTGCACTACCCTCCAGGTAGGAGGCAGCCACAAGCACTTCCTCATGCGGCAAGGTAAGCTTACACCTGACATAAACCGGCACAGACCTTAACCATGTGTCAAGGTCTTCGCCACGCTTGTCCCCTGTAAAAGGCTTAGGCACGGCTGTGGCGATCTTTGGAACCCATTGCGGTTGTCCCTGCAGCTGTCCAGGCTATGGACTCTGGGGAACAGCCTGCTGTACCTGTTGCTGCTAGGGCTGAGACCCCAGCGGCGGCACAGGTTGTGAGACAACTGGTTGCCCACTAATGGCAACCTGCGACGGAGTGAACATATCTGTCTGCGACTGGTTGACCACTGACCAGGATATGTTGACCACTGACCACTGTCTGCGACTGGTTGACCACTGACTGAACTGAAACCTGTACACTAGGACCTGCTGATATCCCTCCTGAAAGCGGCATGCCCAGGGAAACGATTGCGACCGTCGACGGGGCTACGTATGGGGATACCCCTGTCACCGATGGGACACAAAAAGGAGGATATGCCACAAGCCAGGCACCAGGCCCTGGCGGTGATGGTACCGCCTGAGAACGACCTACCAAGATGGCTAGGCTCTGTTGGATGTCATGAAGAATGGTAGTCTGATGCTCATGCATCTCTATTACTCCTAGCAGGGCTCTCCTAACTACCCTCACATCATCATCCATGTTCGTCAGGTCCATCGTCTCTAACTCCTCTATGTCTGCCCCTCTCCGCTGCATCCTGGCGCTTCTTCTAATCATCTTCTCCTTCTCCGCTTTTCTCTCTCCTAATGCCCGTTGTAGTTGTGTCTCGTGCAGGGCTGCCTGCTGGATGGTGACATCCTCTGGGGTCAACACTAATGCCTGGCTTGCCATCACGCCAGTGGACTATCTCACGGTCTGTGCGACCTCTGGGGTCAACACTAATGCCTGGCTTGCCATCACGCCAGTGGACTATCTCACGGTCTGTGCGACCGTTGACCCGACGACAACTGAACTGCTGGCCTGGGAAGTCTGTTGTGCAGAGGTGACCATAGCGGAGGTGACCATGGCTGTTGTAGCAGCGGCCTCGCTAGCGAAAACCCTGCTGGCCTCGGCTGCTCTTGCTATCCTCTGCTGCTGCCGCCTCTCCCTAAGCGGGCGGAACGGAATCCTATCGCCCTCTGGTCCTCGGGACACTTGGGCTATCGGGCATCTAGCTGATCGCAAGATCCGGTCGTCCTGTAGTGTGTCCTCCGTGTCTCTCATATGCTACAACACTGTGCACTGTCTACACTAGGTCACTCAAGATGCCTACCGCAACAGAGTGCACAGACCAATTTAATACTTAATTGGTGGCTATTCAGGAGCAGATACATTCGGGTTCTAACAGATAAGTCCAAATTCCTACGAACGATACTATTCTTAGTCTGACTAGTCCGCAAACAGAAGCACCAGGAACAATAAACAGTTCTAACTAATGCTGTCTGTCAGATGTCAATGGCAGTCCATCTAACTAATCAAAATAAAAATAATATCATTTGACTGGGTCTGTTCACAGCATGGGATCTAACACGAACTGATCACCTGGAATCTGCCCTGTTCCCCAATCCCCACTTGATTGTCACTTGACATCAGTGTTCCTGAGCAATCCGGTAGCATGCGTGACTAAAGGCGTGCACACGGCCCACCCCCGTGCCCCGAGTAGTTGTTGAGCTGGCCAGCCTTGCACGTATGTTTACCCTCGGCGTGCCGCGAGCCTTACATCACTGGCTGATCAAGAGGCATTTTAACGTCGGCCCCCAAGTGACATCAGGAATTATTTTACGTCGCAGAAGGACAAGGATCACAGCCAGTGATATCCCCTACCCGTGTTTATTTATAGACGCCGGGTTCTCGTCTTTCCTGTAGGGCTGGCCTGTCCAACAATACCCATCTATGAGTGCAGCAAGCAGACAAGGACAAAGCAGCAAAGCATGCGTGTTCTACTCCCGGTGGGTTTGCATGGTTACCGTGACCCGGTGCTTCGTCCAGGGCCCTTCAGAAAGCAACGCCCTCTCCTTCCAGATGCTCCACACAAAGTATGCCGACTCTCAAGATTGAGCGCACGCGACACCTCACACGAAAGGACTCTCAAGATGGGACACACAACCTCACGGTAAGAAATGTCGAAGAGGGTAGATAAGGTTAAGAGCAACGTACCTCAATATAGTTGCCCCCAACCATAGATATTCTCATCAGATGACCTGATGGAGATTGCGATGACCAGTCACTGCATCGACACAACCAGCATTATCTCGCTGTTCCACCTCAGCATCAATCAACCACCAGATAGTTCTCAATACACCATAGACACCCAATATAACCACCACATAGCCTTCCAGGCGATACCCCTCACCTCCTGGGTCGCCTACCACTTGTCTCCGCCCTCCTCACTACACACCACTTACGGCCAAACTCGCCCAGCAGACTGCATGTATGTACCGTACCAGGCAGAAGACAAGCGCCAGATGAGCGCAATCGAACCACAGCTCTGATACCAAATTGCAAGGAAGATGAGCAATAGCGAACTTCAACAATCAAACAGCATCATACATATGAGTCCAGATAGTCTTGACCTCGAACCAACAGCAGAATCGCAACACGAGATTCACCAAATAAGAACATCCCAAGAGTTCATAATTGACAATGCTGAATAAGTCCCATCATCATCAACGAAGAACCAGAGTTGATATCCTATCTGGCGCTCGGCGCCCAGACTACATGTGGCAGATCCTATCTAGCCTATGCTACGAACCCGAAAGATGACGTCAACAGCATTCCCGAAGTACGAGCATATGGCGACCAATGTCGCACGCTTCCAGCACCAGGTATGTCTCTCGCTGCACTCACAACCTCGTTCCCCAACACATAGATGCCTCTAGCACCCAAGGACCACCCTGCGCTTCACCCAGCTCACAGCAGTGCAGCTCGGCTATGGCTGCGTGCTCCTTCCCTGCTCGCCCGTGAGAGCGTAGGCGCCA